GAATTATCACAATTTATGGGATGTCAATTTGCAAATGAACATTTCACAGACAATGCTATAATCAAATGCAAAAATATCAGTTTTCAAATAATAAGGCAGTCATTTGTACATGAAATTTACAGTGTCTAAATATTAAAAAATAGTAGAAAGAAGTCTCACAAGTTTACTAAGAGCAGAAATATCACATTTATTTTTAATAATTTTAAAGTATCTAAAATTTTCTAACAATGGACAAGAAAAATAAATAAATTTATTTCTAAGAATTTACAGCATTTAAAATATTTTAATATCATAATTTTATTAAAAAGATTATTTTTCAAAATAATGAGGTTGCTTGCGCATAAAATTTATCGCGCCTTAAAATTTATGATAATAATAAGCAAAAGTAATTATTTCATTTTATTTTTAAAAAGAACGGATTATTTTTCAAGATAATGAAGTCACTTACCTAAAATATTTGAGAGGGAGCTTCCGGTAAAAATGCGGCTAAAGAGAGAAAGAGCTCACTACGTTTCGACTAAAGAGAGAGATCTCAAAAGTTTCCTAGGGTCGGAGTCCTCACCCTTTCGAATTTACATGCTTATAACATATTATTATATTATTTTATTAGGCTCCACCTCATACCTGAGGTGTTACCATAATATTATGCGAGAAACGATTAAGGCCCACATCAACTAAGGACGTGGTAAAAGAAAGGAAAAAGCTTAAACCAAAAGCTTTTAAAGATAGTGATGGTCCCTAAGAACCATCATGCTCATATGGACCATCACTCATTAAAAGTTTCTTTTCTCTTCTTTTTTTTTTTTTTTTTTAAAAAATTTTAGGATTATTACAAATATGTCCAAAGCCCCATCTAGAAAACCTAAGTCTTCTCTTATCCCAATAAAAGAAGATTATAGTTTCTAGGATATTTTGAAAATGGTACAAAATAAAACACATATAGAAAAGGAACCTTCAATATCTGAGCTAAAATATGAAATCAATAAAGTTAGAAATGAATTGATAGCTTTGAAAGCAAGAGTTCAGATTTTAGAACTAACCAAGAACCCCATCAACGAAGAAATTGATGAAGAAAATATAGAGAGTGAATTTAATAATTTAATGACTGAATATAATATTACTTTACCACCTGAGGTTGAAGACACCCTTCCTAAACCTGAAACCTCCAAAGTCCGTATAAATGTAATTGAAAAGGTCCAAAATTGTAAATATGTAAACCTAGTAGACAAAATAATAACCCAAAAATGGTTTACTAATATCAAAATTGTAGTTCAAAAGGAATACAGTTTCCAAACTACCGCCCTGATAGATTTAAGAGCAGATCTAAATTGCATTAATGAAGGATTAGTGCCAACTAAATACTTCAACAAGACTACCCAAATTCTTAATACTGCAAATGGCAGTAAAATGCTTATTAATTATACACTGTTAGATACTGCAGTATGCAATAATGATGCTTGTTTCAATTTTCCCTTCATAATGGTAAAAGGTTTAAGTCAACCTGTTATTTTAGGGACTCTTTTTTTTAATATGCTCTATCCAATTAAGATTGATGATACAGGGATATAAGCGAGTATTGAAGGGCATAATGTTAAATTTACCTTTATTGAAAAGCCCAGAGTCCATGAAATCAATAATATTAAAAATAAGATTTTTTCTAAAGAGAAATTTCTGTATTATCTGAAAGAAGAAATAAAATACAAAAATATGAAAGAAAAATAATCTCTTCCGGAGGTTCAAAATAAGATTAGATCTCTAAAAACCGATATAGAAAAGAATATATGTGCAGATATCTCCAATGCTCTTTGGGACATAAAGCAACATATAGTTGAACTTCCTTATGAACCAGATTTTCGAGAGAATAAAATTTCTACTAAAGCAAGACATATTCAAATGAACAATAGGTTACTCGAAATCTGTAAAAAAGAAATAAAAAAATTATTAGATAAAAAACTTATCAGAAAAAACTCATCACCATGGAGCTGTTCGGCCTTTTATGTGGAAAAGGCCTCTAAATAGAAAGAGGGGCTCCAAGACTGGTTATAAATTGTAAACCACTTTACAAAATTTTGAGATGGATCAGATATCCAATCCCAAATAAAAGAGACCTCTTGATAGACTAGTCAATGCTTGTATATTTCCAAAATTTGATCTCAAATCATGCTACTGACAAATCCAGATTGCCGAAAAAGATAAATATAAAACTGCATTTAATGTTCCGTTTGGGCAATTTGAAAGGAGTGTTATGCCTTTCAAATTAAAAAATACACCATCCGAATTTCAAAACATCATGAACGAAATTTTTAATACTTAGACTAAATTCATGATTGTTTATATTGATGATGTACTTATTTTCTCTGAATCAATTGATCAACACTGGAAGCATTTAAGTACATTCATAAAAGCAATAAAAAATGTTGGCTTACTAGTTTCCACGAGAAAAATAAATCTATGCCAAACAAAAATAAGGTTTTTAGGACATAATATTTTTCAGGGAAGAATTATTCCTATCGATAGAGCAATAAAATTTGCATCCAAATTCCCAGATATAATTCCGGGAAAAACTGAATTACAAAGATTTCTTGGTTGTTTAAATTATATTTCGGAGTTTTATAAAGATTTGGCTTTAGATGCAAAACCTCTATTCCAGAGGTTGAGAAAGAATCCTCTAGAATGAATCGAAGAACATATCAAGGCAGTTAGAAAAATCAAAATAAAAGCTAAGGAATTACCATGCCTAGCTCTATCAAGTCCTACATCGTTTAAAATAGTAGAGACTGACGCCTCAGAACAAGGACTTGGTGTTGTATTAAAACAGCAAGTGAATAATCAAGAGCAATTGGTTCTGTTCACCTCAAAAACTTAGAACCCAACACAACAAAATTATTCAACAGTAAAAAAGGAAATACTTGTGATTGTTTATGCTGTTATAAAATTTCAAAGTGATCTGCTTAATCAATCATTCCTTATAAGAACTTACTGTAAAGCAGCCAAGGACATCCTTCAGAAATATGTCAAAAATCTCGTGTCAAAGAAAATTTTTGCAAGATGGCAAGGTATTCTTTCTGTCTTTGAATTTACTATTGAACATATTAATGGTAACACTAATTATTTGCCTGACTTTTTTACCTGAGAAGGGGGGCAGAAGGAGCCAACAAAACCAGATGATGGAAATAGTCCCTAGTCTAGAATCATCCTTGGCATCTCCATTAACACCAAATGCTCTAATAAGAAGGCAAATACAAGATATTGATATATTTTCCCTTCAAACACCAATAAGCACTCAAACTCCTAGTGTTAAATCCATATATTTAGAAACAACATATATTCATTTGCTAATCATAGAAAATGAACATCAGTCAAAAAATCCGACTGAAATAGTTGCCTTATACCTCAGGTAGCATATGCATCCTAGTATGGGAGATCTGCAAAGAATGGTACAAATGTATCCTTATAGAAACGGGGTCAGTTTTCATAGTTCATTATTCCAGAAATAACGATAATGAAATAACATATTCAAAGTTCCAAATCAAAAAAGTTATTTCTTACAAAGAATGGGGATCAGATTCTTTAAAGCCAAAGATCATAAATACGAAAGGATTTAAAATAAAATCCTATCATTATTATGAATACATAAATACTTGGGACGAAGTCTTTTCATACCATAATACAAAAAATTCTCATAGCTGACATATTCAGTTCAAAATAACTTAGCCAAATAAGTTTCCAAACTGCTTTAAAAATTGGTTCTCTATATGGGGATCAACAAACCAGATTCTACCAAAAGAAATACAAATTTCACAGAGAAAATTATCTGAATATAATGGGCAAAGTCTTAAAAGAGATTTCCATGTATATTTTATGACCTTATATCAGGTCCCGTGGATTTTAAAATGGGATTATCAAGTTTCAACAGATGATATGAACGGGTGGGATTATATCCCCGAATTAAGAAGGCAAATCCATATCAAATGGTGGGACAGCTACAAAAATGAATCCCTAAATCCAGACAAAATAAAAATAAAATTTATACCTTCAGTTTCACCCAAAAAAAAAAAATGGAAATATCAGAATATGTTGCAATATTACAGCAACAACACTCCAATCTATCCAAAGAAGAGCTTAAAAGGAAGCTCTGGAGCGCAATAGAAGATAATGAGGAAAAAATGTCCACCTCTACTTGAAGTGTTGAACAGGACGATTATAGTCTGATGAATGGTGATGATTGCACCGGAATTGAATTTTCTTCAAATTAAAGAAAATTCAAAAGGGACCAGAACGACTCCAACCTATCAAGGACACGTGTCGTAGTCACTATCACCACTACCGACAAAGTCGCTGTCACTGTAGCCACTCACCGACGGAATCTCACTGTAGCCACTAGCAAATAGCCACTGATCGACGGAATCTCACTGTAGCCACTAGCCGACAGCTACTGTAGCCACTGACCGACGGAATCTCACTGTAGAAGATAAGGTGATGATGCGGATTTCAAACGTTTCAAATCCGTTTATTTTTTTAGGGCTATAAAAGGAGGGGAGGGGAGCTCTTCTGAGGGACATCCGGAGTTTTGAAGTTCTTTCTCTACTCTCTTCTTTACAAGTTCTCTCTCTACTCTCTTTTATACAGTTCTCTATCTGCTCTCTTCTCTACAGTCCCCTCTCTATTGTATATCCAGTAGTGCTTGAAGCTATCTGGTTTCTTTACTAGTGTAAGAATTAAATGTGCGACTGCTTTTGGAAGGAAATCCCTGACTATATCCCTGAGCAGTTGAAGTTATTTATCAGCTTCTGTAACTGTGAAATGTGAGATTACTTTATTTATTATAAGTTTGATCTGAATTCATGTTTAGGATCATGTTTACCGTGTATTCCGTTGTTAGTTTCTGTTTGATTTGAAATAGATATAGGAGAAAAGATGAGAAACGTAAATTCGCGTATTTGGTTGTGGTGCGCCAACGACCCAGATTAACGTATTTAAAATCAAGGGTCCTCATTCAAAAGGGGAAACGCTAGCTTGCAGAAGGGAAACTCCATTTGAAATGGAGACAGCTTAGGCCAGCAAACTCCTGCCTACACTCTCGCCTACTGTGCAGAGATGGCAGGCCTACCTGCCTCAAACCCTTCTCATACTCCATCTTTCTCTCTCTACCTGCATCCACTCCCCCTCTCTCTCTCTAAATCACATGAAATAAAAAACCATTCCCTTTCTCTCTCTAAAACCAGATGAGCCCTATCTCTCCCTGCACTCAGTTTCCTCTCTATCTTTCACAAACTTCAGGAGCCCTAATATACCCTCGCGAATTCTCTCTCTCTCTAAACCAGAAATACAAGGGAAGCCCTACCAAACTAACGTCTCACTCTCTCTGTCCGCCTCATTCGACAATAGAAGTGAAAGTCCTATCTTAATCGCAGTCACAGAAGTACGAATAGTTATGGGTTATTGGTTTGAAAACCCTGTGATGGGTTTATAGTTATGGATTATTGGTTTGAAAACCCCGTGATGGGTTTGCATTTGAGGTATTCACTACTGATTTGTGTTTTTTGCTATGAAAAATAGCATGTTTGTTCTAATGCCCCGTGATGGTTTGCGTTTGGGGTATTCATTACTGATCTGCATTTTTTGCTATGAAAAATAGGATGTTTGTTCTAATGCTGTAAATTTGGTTTTTTTTGTTAGTTTGCATTTAAAGATTATCTCTTTCTCTCTCTGTGAAATATATTGTGTTCACTTGACCTGAGTGTTGTGAAGATTGGCTTGGCTTCATCGCTTCTTTGACCAGGTCTGAACCAGGTTAAGTTTCCTGCCTTCTATTATTTTCTCCTTTATTTTTTTTACATATAGATTGAAACTCTACATCACTACTATTTGAAACAACCGCTCTGATCAATCTGAGTCTAGTGGTTTCTATTGATTTCTTTCAATATCTCGTTTGAGATGGCGCAGAAGAATTACCAGTGTTTGATGGATTCTGTGTTTTTGGAGTTGTAAATGCTTATCTTATCTTGTGGTCATATTTGTTAATCCTTATACATAGACTGAACTATCCTTTTTTTAAAAAAAAAAATTTATTTTGTGAATTTTGGTGGCGGGGCTTTGGTTTGGATGTGGCCTCACAATCGGAGGTCATGTGTTTCCAGTAAACAATCTGTTGGTTTGTGCCCAATTAACAAGTCAAAGGAGGAGAGAAGTCACGCTGTTTAGTTTTGTGCAGAAATTTATTCATATTAAGATGGACATTTTGGAGGTTTCAATGTCTGGCTGCTGGATCAAAGTCTGCAAAATCTGTGAAGTTCATGGTTTTGAAATCTTAAAAGTTGATGGTTTTCTGTTTTTATGCATTCATGGCTGGAGAAGGATTTGAAGAAAGCATATTAGTACTAAGGTGCATAACAATTTGATTTCGGTGATGTGGAATAAAGCTTCTGATCCTCTTCATTATCATTGTTCTTTGTGGTTTCTGATCAGTATAATTTATACCATTGACTAAAACAACAACTTGAAGTGTGGGTGTGTTTAGGGTTTCCATTGAGATATTGCTTGATTGACAAAGTTTGTTATGATAGAACTATCCACAATTAGAAACTGAGCATTTTGTGGATTACATTCGGGGTCTTCCTCAGTTACAGTGGACAATTTATAAATCTAGGGTATTTGGAAGGAGTGTGAGGGGACCCATTTTCATCGACTTGGGAATGTTGATTAGTAATTGCCTGGTTTTTGTCAGTCGGTGTGGTTATGCATTGCGCGATTGTTGACATTTTTTCTTGGAAAGTTAACATAGACTCACCGATCAAAAAAGTAAACATAGATTCAGGTGACATTTACTCTCTTTCTTTTTCTTTAGTTTGACTTACATGAAGAATTGTGAATGCCCATAATTAGCAAGAAAGAGGTAATAAAGGAGATATTACTGCATAATTTTGCAAATCAGGGTTCCTTGACCTTAGAGCTTTTGTTGGAAAATGATAAGCTAAAGGAATTAGAAAAGGGACATAAGTTTGTATTTGAAGGAAAATGTTAATTAGTACTAGACTACTGAGTAACATTGTATGTGTTAACTTGTTCCAGAACAACACAAAAGAATCAGTCTTCAGGAAATTGAAAGGTAAGCACTTGATGATGGCTTCTAGGGTGTTTTGCTCAACTTTTGGGCGATCATTAAAATTACAGTTTGGAGATTTCTGGGGAATTCTTTCAACATTCTAGGATGTTAATGGAGGTTAATGTTAACTTTTTTCACGATTTCTTTTTGGGTTTGTTAGGGTGAGGTTGAAACTCATTAATCATTTTTAGGCCTTATAGCATTCACATTCTGTGTTAGTGTGTGTGGTGTGGTGGGGTGTACCGTGTTTTTGTTTTTTTATTTTTTTTTTGGGAGGAGGGGGCATATACTATATACAATCTTGGCATTGGGCAATATGCTTAGGAGGTTTCATATCTAACTATATCCCTAAGCAGAGGTGGCTCTTCATGAATCTTTTGTTTTTTTGTCTACTAGCCTTTCCGTTGGTCACCAAACCATACCACATGATTCCATTGTTTCTTTTGTACCTACTCATTTCTACTATGCGCATCATGTATAAATTGTTATTGTTTGTTTGTAAGCGTATCTGATTTGAATATGATTATTTCTTTAATTTGCAAATTGATATTGTTTGACTTGAAAGAAAAGCACCTAGTGTGAGAAATTTTTTCCATTGTTTCATGCTATTTGGGGTAAATAATTAATTTCCTTTGTTTACTTCTTATGAAATTGGGATGCAAGTCTACACCTTTGAACTACACAACATGTCATCAATTTCCACTAGTGCTGGAGGATATCCATGGCGAACCTGTTCATGGTGCAACTTACAATGCAACTATATCAAGCTCCCGATCTAACCCAAGAAGAATGTACTACCGGTATCCAAATTGTACTTTTTCCCAATGGTATGATGAATATATGGAAGGGATGAATTATAATGTAAAGTTGAGGCGCCGTGATATACACCAAAACAATCAGATACAAGAATCACAGGAGCATATTATGGTCAAGCCTGAACCGATGGTCATTCAACAACAAAGTATTGATACTTTAGGGCGAATGCAACAGTTTATATTTTTCTTGTGTGTAACGAATGCGATTATGTTTGTATTACTTTTGTTGAAAAATGTTTGATATCACTAGATAGTTGGTCTCACATCCCATGAAACATTTATTGGTGTTGATATTGGATTTACATAGAGTAAATTAAAGTCAATATGAATTGTGTGCTTGTAAAAGACTACCTTGGAATTGTAGAAGACTACCTTGAAATGTGATTTGGTTTGAAACATTGTTGAAAACTATTACAAATAAGTTTACAGATTTCATAACTAGCATATAATTATAGCAGTGCAAACCACAGAAGAAAATTTTAGATAGCTAACAAATGGCGAGAAATCTGATTTGAGACAGAATCCATAGCATGTCATTACTTAGGCGTCTCAGTCAACACTTGCACAAGTCAATGGAGTGTGACACAGACATAGGTATAAGAGTCCAAGGTTTTACATTATTTTGAGGGATGAAGGTTATCGCTCTTTTAAGCAAGGGGGAATGGACTCCTCACTCTTGGGACTTTTTTCTATTTTGCGGTTAATCTTTTTGTTTTGGGCTTAAATTTATGATGGTTAATCTTATTGTTTTGGGCTTTAATTGATGATGGGTCAATCTTCCTTTTTTTGGGCTGTATCATTGGTTGTGTACATGGCTTATATGTGATGGAATAGAAGGAATTTAAACATCTCTCTCTTTCTCTGTTTTGGTCTGTCATCATGGCTTATATGTGATGGAATAGAACGGGAATTTAAACATCTCACATCTCTCTCTGTTTTGGTCTCAGTCATCGGTAATGCACATTGTACATAGCTTCTATGTGATGAAATACGAGGAATTTGAACATCTCTGTTTACTTGTGATGGAATGAGTACATGAAATTTGAACAAATCTCTCTCTCTCCATTTGATAGAATAGGAGTTTGAACATCTCTCTCTATCTTCTCTTATCTTGTTACATTTGATAGAATAGGAGTTCGAAATTTTGAACAGATCTCTCTCTCAAATGGAAATCCATGTGCAAACCAACAAGAGTAGACATGACAATTAAAATCAACAAGCTTCCTAACTAATTGTAAATCCATGGACAGGTCAGAAACAAGGAAGACACTCGAGTTGGAAAGCACAAAGACCAGAAGAATGAAATTAACTAATCCAAGCTAGAAGATGAATGACCACGATAACAATCCATTACAATACTGGATTTTACCAAAAAAATGATTATTTGCTATCCCCATTTCCATACAACAAAATGAACATATTCGCCACACATATCCATTACAAAACTTAATTTAACCAAAAAAATGACTCTTTACTGCCCCATTTCCATACAACACAATCACCACATTCACCACACATATGTCCATTACAATACTGAATTTTACAATCACTACATTCACCACAACTATGGAGCGTGTACCAAAAAATAGCTCTTGAACTATATCAAGGAGCGTGTAACAAAAAATGGCTCTTGAATCTTTGGCAAAAATTATCCACATCTTCTGTGGAGCATCTTTTCGACCTACAATAATAAGAATAGTCTTGGTCTATTGCACGTTAAAATAGAGGAGAATAGTGTTGATCTTTTACCAAAATGCACAATGATAATAGCATGGAATACATGGAGAGAGACTGAGGACCTGTTGGGCATTTAGAGAGAGAAAAAAAACCTTTACAGAGAGAGTGAGCCCTGCATAATAGCAAATTCTAATATTGTATATAAGCTGATTTTCCAACCAATGACATCCTGAAAGAGCAATCCATATCTGGTCACAAGCATAATACATAATGCTGCTTACCATAATGTTGCTTACCCTGAGTACATAAAATATTTAAAATAATTCATACATAAAGCATAATACATAATGTTGCTTACCATCAATGCTCAATGTCTCGCGTTCTTATGAGACCGAATCTTATGGCGGACTTTTGGAACTAACCTTGTAGTCAGAAAAGAAATTGCAATATTAGCATTTCATAATGTATTCACAATGACTAATATCATCTGAAAATGCTAATACATCTAGATGGAAATGCTCATACAATTAAAAATCAAAAGAATCTAAAGGTATGGATTACTACTTTTCACGAACGTATGATGGACAATTTCTTCTGTCATGCCCACTGCCCTGGCAAACTGCGCATTTCCTAGACTTCTCCATTGGCTTCCAACCCTCTGATCGAGCTTGTTTTCTTGCATTTGTCGGCCGTCCCTTTGCCCATGCTCGTGGAGGATCAAGAACATTCTGGTAGTTGTAACTTCCATTTGGTGTGTCACTACAACTAGTAGCACTCTTCTCATCATTGACATGGCTCATAGTGTCAACATGTGGGCGTTGCTTACAATCGAATTTATTGTTAACCTCTATGATATCATCGTGTATTAAAGATATTACAAATTCATGAACCTCCACACTTTCTGACGCATGCTCAGCAAGGTATCGAAAAACCTACATGACATCGTTATATCGAATGGAGCGTGGTAGTACAAATGTATCAAGAAGTTCTTTGCCTTTTTCATCAACAAAAACCCCCCTCCTTACTTTCTTTGACCAAAGCCTCATTATGTATTGTGAAGGGATTTCAAAAATATTTTTCATCATAAAAATCTTCAACACATGCCTGCAAAGAAAGCCCATCCTCTCATATAAGTGACAATTGCAATTAGCCTTCTTCTCATGGGGATTGAATTCCACTAAGTACGATCTACATCTAGTTCCCATATCTGCCACCTTAAAAGGGGCAAGCTGTCCATTTTCATCAACTAACTCACTTATCAAATTCATACAATTGGCAACCTCTTCCACAAATACCTTCAAAAACTTTTGAGTATAGATTTTTTGTGCATGTGACTCAAATAGAGAAGTTGTTCTTAAGATTGGAGTAGTTGTAATGTCGTTTAAGTCCTTTTTCTTTTCTTTTCGTACCTTCTTATCTTGCACCTTGGCACATATTTCCAATAATGTACATAGGCTTGTTTTGGAGGTCAAGTACATCTTGAAATCCTTATTAATCCCTTCACTTCTTTGGGTAGAAGTCATACCCGCTGTGAACCTGCCAGTCAAGTATGCATCTACCCATTGCATGCGACAACCATATAGCCTATTTAGCCATTCATTGCTTTCCAACTCATATTTCTCAATCATCAATTTCCATCTATTTTCAAATTCTTCTATTGTTGGGCTAGCTATACAACTCCTGAAGATATTTGAAAAAGAAGGATATATGCGCAAGACATGGAATAGTTTTTCTTTAACTTTCGATAGTATATGCCACTTACAGTAATGATGCTCACTCTGGTAAAAAACTTGTCTCACTGCGGCTAAAATTGCATGGTCTTGATCAGTGATAATAACACCTAGTTGTTGTCCACCAATTGCTTCTAACCAATTTTTAAATACCCAAACAAATGATTCTACCTTCTCATCAAATATGAGTGCAAATCCAAAGAAAGTTGTATTGAAATGGTGATTTACAACAAGTATGGGAGCAAATGACATACTAAAAGTGTTTGTTTTGTATATGGTATCAAATGTAACCACATCAGAGAAACATCGATAAGAAACTGTGCATGTGGCATCTATCCATAAGATGCTGAGAATGTGATCGTCTGCATCTAATTTCAGTCTATAGAAAAAAGACGGGTTAGATTCTTTTATTTTATGTAGTCATTGCATAACTAGACTACCATCTTCTCCTCTTAGTTTTCTTCTAGCACTGGCAATTTTATTTTCGATGTCTTTTTTTGTATATGTAACATTCTTGATCCCTCCAGCTTGCTCTATAAAGATGTCATGAATATGTCTTGGCCTAACCATTGCCGAACTCATTAGATTTATCATCAACTTTGTGGCACTAGACAACGTTCGGTGGCTGCGAATTAGACAAGCTTTTCTTGGACTAACTAGATCATGATTATGATCATCAATAAACCTAGTCACTTTTTTATTGAGTCCTAGCTTAGCCTTACACCCACACCTTGATTCAGGGAGTACCTTTCCACTGACCTGCTCTTTCACTTTGCGAAATCCTTCCTGAGAGCAATTAATTTCTCTAGTAATCCTTTCACCATTATTATTATGGGTAGTGCCCAACCGGATACCAAAGCGTTTGGCCAATGCATAAGCCTTATAATAGTCAATTGCATCTTCCTCTGAAGAAAACTTCATTCCTATATGGGCTACTTTGTTTCTTGGCCTTTGGTTGAGGAGTTAAGTTCTCCATCTTGTATTTCTATAAATTTTCTAGGAAGGGTTGCAAGATAAGGAACCTGCTCCATGGGATCATTGTTGTCACCCACGTTGTCTCCAATTGCACAAGTGGGAGATGACACACAGTCTGAAACGGTGTGATCCATCTATGTTTTTCAACTGACCATACATAGAAAAACAAACTACATAAATATATGTATTCAAACCTTTATATAAACATAACAACACTCCTAGTTAACTATTCAAGTAATCTTACTTCCATTATAGGATCAACCACATTCAAACAATTGTAGACAACAGGGTTGCACTCTTATTAATTTGAACTTAACTCTTAAAGTAATGTGTATGAGCATTAAACACTAGATTAGACATCATAGGCTTGGGGCTTTTGTAGTTCACATATGACATTAATAGTGTCAAGACACAGAACTCATGTATCTATTTGAAACAATGTCTCAACAAGTTGATCATGCCTAACATATATGTTTTATTAGTTTTTTGTAATCTTAAGTGGGACAAAAAGATTAAGGATATGTGACCAAACCAAGTACTTTTGGATGTTAACTTATATAACCAGGCATTAATATAACCCAAAATTCACAAGTTCATCAGCCCATCACATCACACATTGCGCATAAAGTACACAACATACTCAAAATTCTTCACATATGAATCAAATTCAAGCCCATCAGTAGACTTTTCCATTGAAATATCAAGGATAATAGGAACTTCATCAGTAACCTTTTCCATTGAAATAACAATGATGATGGGACAACTAATGAATTAAAAAGAAAAATACCAATGAAAAAGAAATAGCCCTAAAAAATGGTGATGAAAGTTAAATAGAATGAGCACATATGAATCAGGCCCATCAGTATAACTTTCCGTTCAAATATCAAGGATAATGTGAACTTCAACAGAAACCATTTCTATTAAAATAACAATGATAATGGGACAGCTAATGTATATATATAAAAAAATTGCCATTGAAAAAGAAGTAGCCCTAAAAAATGGTGATGAAAGAAAAATAGGATGAGCACATATGAATCAAATTCAAGCCCATCAGTAGACTTTTCCATTGAAATATCAAGGATAATGGAAGCATCATCAGCAACCTTTTCCATTGAAAGAACAATGATAATGCGACAGCTCATGTATTTAAAAAAAAATAGCCATTGAAATAGAAATAGCCCGCCAATTGAATCTGAAACATTTAGTTCTTTTTCATTTATATTTCGGGCATTTGGTCACAAGCCTCCAATTGAAAATTTCAAAACCATGAACTTCACAGATTTCACAGACTTTGATCCAGCAGCCAGACATTGAAACCTCAAAAATGTCCATCTTAATATGCATAAATTTCTGCACAAAACTAAACAGCGTGACTTCTCTCCTCCTTTGACTTGTCAACAGATTGTTTACTGAAAACACAGGACAAAAACCAGGCAATCACTAATCAACATTCCCAAGTCGATAAAAATAGATCCCCTCACACGCCTTCCAATGCCCTGGATTTGTATATTGGCCACTGTAACTGAGGAAGACCCCGAATGTAATCCACAAATGCTCAGTTTCTAATTGTGGATAGTTCTATCATAACAAACTTTGTCAATCAAGCAATATCTCAATGGAAACCCAAAACACACCCAGTTTATCATTGTTCCATGGTCCATGAAAATAGATTTCTATTTACCCTAAACACTTCAAGTTGTAGTTTTAGTCAATGGTATTAATTATACTGATCAGAAACCACAAAGAACAATGATAATGAAGAGGATCAGAAGCTTTATTCAACATCACCGAAATCAAATTGTTGTGCACCTTAGTACTAATATGTATAAGAATTAACAAAATATGACCACAAGATAAGACAAGCATTTACAACTCCAAAAACACAGAATCCATTAAACAGGTAATTCTTCTGCCCCATCTCAAACGAGATATTGAAACAAATCAATAGAAACCATTAGACCCAGATTGATCAGAGCGGTTGTTTCAAATAGTAGTGATGTAGAGTTTCAATCTATATGTAAAAAAAATAAAGGAGAAAATAATAGAAGGTAGGAAACTTAACCTGGTTCAGACCTGGTCAAAGAAGCGATGAAGCCAAGCCAATCTTCACAACACTCAGGTCAAGGGAACACAATATATATATTACAGAGAGAGAAAGAGATAATCTTTAAATGCAAACTAACAAAAACAACCAGATTTACAACATTAGAACAAACATCCTATTTTTCATCGCAAAAAACGCAAACCAGTAATGAATACCCCAAATGCAAACCCATCACGGAGCATTAGAACAAACATCCTATTTTTCATAGCAAAAAACGCAGATCAGTAATGAATACCCCAAATGCAAACCCATGACGGGGTTTTCAAACCAATGACCCATAACTATAAATCCATCACAAGGTTTTCAAACCAATAACCCATAACTATACGTACCTCTGCGACTGCGATTAAGATAGGGCTTTGACTTTTGTTCTCATATAAGAGGCATAGAGAGAGAGAGACGTCAGTTTGGTAGGGCTTCCCCTATATTTCTGTTTTAGAGAGAGAGAGAGTTCGCGAGGGTGTATTAGGGCTCCTGTAGTTTGTGAAAGATAGAGAGGAAACTGGGCGTGAGAGAGAGATAGGGCTCATCTGGTTTTAGAGAGAGAAAGGGAATGTTTTTTATTTCGTGTGGTTTAGAGAGAGAGAGGGAGTAATTCGCTAAAACAAAATCGACCAAAATACCTTCGAAACATTTTTGGGGTATTTTGATCGATTATTTGTATGTAAAATATTTTTTTTTGTTATTTTTTATAAATTTACTTATTTTTTTATGAATACACGTTTTAAATTTTATATCATTTTAATTTGTAGAAAAAAAATAAAAAATAAAAAATAAAATACTATAGACAATTGTGACCATATGATAAATTTTAGACGGTAATGAAGGCAGACAAAATCACTGTTCACTTTCACCCATAAGAGTTTTGTAGAATCTTTTATATATATATATATATATATATATATATATATAGTATTATTATT